TCCCCCAGCCCAGAGCACTGAGTGCCACGGCCAGGCCTGCCTTGGACACCTGCAGGGCTGGGCACTCCAAACCTCCCTGGGCAGCCCCTGCCAAGGCCTCACCACCCTTTCCAGCAACAAATTCCTCCTCCTGGCCAACCTGAGCCTCCCCTGGCCCAGCTGGAGGCCGTTCCCTCTCCTCCTGTCCCTTGTTCCCACCTCATCATCCCATTCATACACTCAAACACTAAACAACTCAAACATTAATCATATCTCATTTGCTATGCTCAGAGTTGCCCATCACCTATAGAATTGCAATATTTCACAGACTGGAGCCTTAGGAGGCCACACAAGAACTGAAGGAAAATCTGGAAACTGGAGACAACACCTGCCTTTGTGGAGAACCATTGCTAAAACCTCTACAGTTAATCCTGGCATTCCCATGAGAGCAGGATGACAGGGAAACATCCATCCATAACATTTCTAGTTCATTTTCCCAAGAACAATCTGTTCAGTGAAAGCAGTGTGAGCTCACCTCGATGTTCAGAGGAGGTTGGCAGGCTGGGAAGAACACATACTTGATTTTACTGTAGGCCTGGTAGAGCACAAACACCAGGGGCAAGGCCACGAGCAGGACAACAACCAGGGCAACGATGAACGTGGCTAAAATGATCAGAGGGAAAGCTTTCTCTGAAAAGAGGAATCAAAACCATTCAGTCCAGGCATTCATCACCACCAAGGATTACAGAACAGATCAGCTCCAAATCTGCTGCAGGATTATATCACAGTATATTCTGCATTTCCACAGTGCCACACCAGCCATGTGTGATGATCCTGAAAAACTGGTGCTATCCCAACACCTTAGAGAATTGTACTTCAAAAAAGCATCAAATACAAGCACACAGAACAATCAGGGTTGGATGGGCTTTAAGGTCCTCCCAACCCAAACCATTCTGTGATTCTCTGCCTATCTGTAATAAACTGAAGCGAGTCTGAGCATACTAAAATTAACCAAGATACCAAGAGACACTCTACAAATAATCATAATTACAGACAATCAGGTCCTTTTTTATGATCAGAGAATGAAAGATTTCCACTCTGGGATGTAAGAACACGTGTGAAAGACAGGGCATGGTCTGTCCTGAATGCACTGCTTGGTCTTAAATAAGCTTATTAAAACAGAAGGGTATGGGAAGACTAATAACTAGTAAAACAGATTAAAGAATTTATCTAATGAAGGTAAAAAAAAGTAACATTTGGGTTGTTTTAGGCTTGATAAAGACGAAGCAGGACCACAGTATAAATGAATCCTAAAGGCTTATGATGTGTTGGAGCATTGCTGTTCTTACATTTTCTTAAACAGTTTGGATATTCAGCAATTTTTCTAGTGTTAATAAAATTTCATTTGGCCAGTTCTCTTCACCATGAAACTCTCTCTTCTGTTCTGAGGGAGTGGAACCCACCCAGTCTCACTTGGCACCAGGGTGAGCTTTTGGCTCTGACACTGGCTTTTATCTCCTCACGCTGCAGCACGGCACTTGTTAAAGCTGAATTCGTTCACAGAAGAACTGTGTAAATTCCAAAGGTAAAATATCCCTGAAAACAGGGCATTTAGTGATTCCCAAAAATGTCTTACAAGCACTGGGAATCCAAGCTCTCTACCCTACAAGGTCCTGCTGCCAAGAGTTTTTAACCAGCGAGAGCCGCGAAGGCCCACGAAGGGTCAATAACTGGACTTGCAGAGGTGGATCAATCCCCAAGCCTCCCCTACCTGCAGGGGTTTGGATGCACTCCTCCTGGCTGTAGCCACTGCTTTTGTTGTAAGCTGCTGACAAGGCCTGCACTTTGACACAGTACAGGGTGTCGGGCGCGAGGTCGGCGATCGTCGCCACGGTTTGTTTTGTTTCCTTCACCTTGGCCTCCTCCTGAAAAGTCCAAGATGGGAGAATGAGATGCACGTGAACAGTTCAAGAATCACTCAGAGGGGTGAGAATTTCAGCCTCTGATGAAGAAGTCGTTCTGTAAAACGTCACTGCAGCCGCAGAATTCCCAGAATCGTCAAGGTTGGAAGGGACCTTCGGGTTCGTCCAGTCCCGCTGTCACCCGGCAGCCCTAAACCACGTCCCGAGTGCCTCTGGGACACTGGTGACTCCACCACCTCCCTGGGCACCCAGATTAAATCAAATAACAGGAACCCCCCAGTTATCTCCCCAGCAAAATTCAGGAAACACTCGTTGGCAAGAACCAACTGCTGCCAGCACTGTGACACTTCCAGCTCCAAGTCTGTGCAACACGAAACCTCTTCCTGCTGCAGGTGGTTTCCTTCTCTTCCTGCACCCTTTCAGCCACTACTGTAAAATATTTCACTGTAAGAAGTATTTAAATATGGAAAAAACTGTGAGCTAAAAGCACACAGGACTTTGTTGTTTCATGACACACGGAGCTTTTACATCCCAGCTTACATTAAACACGGCCCCACCCATGGAAACAGATTAAAATCTCACTCACTGTGGGATAAAATCACCTTGAGCAGATTTTCAACAGAACCTTTCAGAAAAAAAAAACCCCACAGATTGACTCTTTTTTCAGACTGACACATCATATCTGTGCCTCTCTTGTAAAGAAGCTGCTCGAGGGGAACTCAAACTCGAGGTTTAAGTCATAAATACTTATGGCTGTGTATGAAATTTGTTAATCAGTTCAGACCTCATCACTTGATGAGTTCTTCCAGTACAGAATCCGGTAAGACAAGAGGTAGTTGTTCCTCATGACTTCCCCCTCAGGTCCTCCAGGAGGAGAAATCTGGATGTGGAGCAAAGTATCACCGATGTCCAGCTTTACACCAGGAGGGCCAATTTCATCTTCAAAACAAAATTAAAAATGTAACTTAAAAACACAGATAAAAATATTGCAAAAATACTGTCATTGAAACCTATGATAATTTTTTTAGAAACACACACTTAAAAGTCTGACTTCATACCTTTGTCCAGAATCTCAAGTCCTGAGAAATATTTCAATTATTTTCAGCTTGGCCTGGGACACTTCCAGGGATCCAGGGGCAGCCACAGCTTCTCTGCCCAACCTGGGCCAGGGCCTGCCCACCCTCCCAGCCAGCAATTCCTTCCCAATCTCCCATCTATCCCTGCCCTCTGGCAGTTTGAAGCCATTCCCTGTATCCTGTCCCCCCAGCCCTTGTCCCCAGTCCCTCTCCACCCTCCCGTTAAGTAAATAGTGGCACTGGGTACCAGTTTTTGAGATAAAAAATTTAGGAAAACACGTTTCCTTACTGGTTTTCAGAGGATCTACTTTGACTTCAGTGGACAGACAGGATTTGTTGTGGCCAGCCCTGGCCTGCACACGCAGGTAATAAAAGCCGGTGGTGGTGATGACCGAGGAGACGTTGCAGTGAGTGCCAGTGGTGTCCCCACACCCAGGGACACTCACCCACTTCCCAGAGTAATCCTCGTTCAGCCTCTTCAGATACCCACTGCAAGACAGAATTGAGCAATTTTTGGCATGAGGTCCTTGAAGTCTCTGGGGCAAAAGGCAGGATTGCCTGGTGCTACACAGGCTGTTTTCCTGCTGAGGGAACAATGCTCTGACCAGGAGACATTTCTGACTGAAATAACCAAGAGAAGCGGGGCAGGAACCACAGAGCAGTGTTTAATCAAGCCTCAGGGTAAATCATGTGCTGGTTTTGCAAGTCCTTAAAATCCCAATTAAAATTTCTCACATTCTATGAAGTCAGTTATTTTCCTGGCATGCCAAAAGAATCCCAAAAGAATCCCTGAGGGGACTCTCCTCTTCACTGAGGTGCTGGCCACAACATTTGGGTGACAGCTGGAGAGTGGGACACAGGTTTATGGATTCGTGTCTTGACAGGGTGGGTTTGGATGTGATCCCTTTTTTCGATGTGACATGTTTGGTTGGTTTTTTAATGTGATCCCTTTTTTCGATGTGACATGTTTGTTTGTTTGTTTTTTAATGTGATCCCTTTTTTGGATGTGATATGATTTTTTTTAATGTGATACAATGTTCTTCTGATGTGCTAAGACAGGTTTTTTTCCCATTTTTGGATCTAAGCAGAAGAAATCAAACCCGTTGGCAACTGAAACCTCGAGCACCTGCATTTTTATCCCTTCTAGTCGTCGAGTTTTCTCACACTCAAAAAGCTACAAAGCAAAACGTCCCAGCTTTTAAAAATGTTATTTAGCATTTAGAAGTCCCTTCCCTCAGGTATTAAACACTACTAAAATCATCTCAGTGCCCTGAAATTCCAGGGTAAGATATCATGGAATCCTTTTAACAGATGAACATTCCCACTACTTCATTAATACACTCAAATATTTCATTTTAATTTCCAGAAGACACTGGCAAAATAAAACACATGGCATTTCAAAGGACATAACCTGCAAACTGAGGTGGAAATTTTGGACTCACATGAGGTACTGGACGTTGTAGCTCACGGGTTGTTTATATTGATTCTCCCAGTGCAGGTGAAATTCCATATTCAAACCAAGGACCCTCAGATTTCTGGCACAGAGAAGGTCGTTCACTGCTCAGAATGAAAAGGAAACCCAAAAATAGCAAAAAATTGATATTACAGACAGATCTCTCACTGAATGGACACTTCTCATGGTGCACTTGCAATAATGAAAATATAAAGATTATCTGTTCATTACAAAGGTTGCAAATCGAAGTCAGGGTGTTGTACTAAGCCTGAAATAAAAAAACCAATTCAGAAAAAAATTAAACTACAGAAACACTGAGATGAGCAGCAAGAAACTGGTTTGGCAATAAATCGAGGAGAAAAATGTATGAAATACACGTGTATTTGTTACACATTCCAATATTTTAATGTTTAATCCTGTACTAAAACACGCACATATTTTAATATTTATTATGATACACGTGTTAATATTTCATTAAAAAGCACATTAATTATTTTAGCATGTCATTAAAATGCACATGTATTATTTTGTATGTTTTTAATTTAATATTTTTGCATAAAGTAATTTCCATGTACCATCAACTAGTTACTCCAACTAATTTTGATTTTGATGTACCATCTACCATTTTGATGTCCCATCCAGGTTGGATCTATATTTGACTTTCCTGAAGTTATTTTTTTTCCCCTGAAAGAAACATTTAGAAGTACCTAAACTGACACCTGAAAGCACACAAAAGAATTCAAATTTAGACATGCAAACCAAGCAACTGGTGGCCAACTGCCACTGTGCCTTTTTCCAGAACCTGGAACAATCAGTTCCCCGAGGATTACAAAAAACCAGGACTTTTTTAAGCTTAGTCCAACTTTCTCTGCATTTATTTACTGCCAAGGGCACAAAAGGCTTCTCTTTTGGCTCCATACACATCCCTTTCCTCCCGATTCAAAGCCACTAATTCAAAATACAGAGAGTTTTCCAAAAATACAGAAAGAAGCTTTTGCAGTCCAAATTAATTGATTAGGCAACAATAATTTGCCTTGTGGCAAAACCCCTTTTTGTACAATTAAAACTCTACTGCTGCCAGATCTTATGTTGACTGGGAAAAACAAATGACATTAACTGTTGTATGGTACACGTAGTTTTTAATACCAAGACGAGGAGGAACTTGGCAGTTCTGCATATTTTTGTTGCTTTAGACCAACCCACTTTGTGACAGTTTGAATTCAATCCTCATCTGCAGATAAACTGATTTGCCTCTCACCTCTTTGGGTGGTTTTCACACAGTGAACGGGACTGAACAGCCCTTCTTTGCCCTCCACAGGAAGATTTGCTTGAACTTTAAAACAATAAGTGGTGTCTGGTGCAAGATCTCCGATGGTGTCAATGGGAAAAATATTTTTACTTCTGGGCTGGAAGAAACAACCACAAAGAGCCTTTGAAGGGACTGTCCTTCCCCAGGAGCGGGGTTTGGAAAGGATCATTTGTCCTCCCAGGATTTCAGCCCATTTATAGCAAAGACCACCAAAAAGGCTAAAACAGAAAAAAAAAAAAAAAAAAAAAGAGGGCAATATTTGAGGTGGACAAGTGTTAAAGGGAAGCTTCCAATTAATGTGACTCAGAGGAAGGAGCGTTTTGTGCTGCTCTGCCACATGAAAGCGGGATGGGACTGCGGCCTCTGCTTGACGTGGCATGGAACTCACCCCACAGATGTTCAGCTGATGCTCCAAATGAAACAGGACACTCATCCCTCCCACTGGAACACCCCCCTCTCCCTCTGCCACCTCCCTGCTTTTGGTTTCCCAGGCCTTAAGGGGACCGACCTTCGAACAGGACGTGTCAGAACAGGTGATTTCCTCCTCTGAGGTGCAACCAGAGAAACCTCAGGGTTGGGACAGCCCTGCAGGGTCACCCAGCACCACCACAGCCACCCCTGATCCCCGTCCCCAAGGGCCACATCCTGACACCTCTGGGACACCTGCAGGGCTGGGCACTCCAAACCTCCCTGGGCAGCCCCTGCCAAGGCCTCACCAC